TTATATGTTATGAAAATGGAAAATTAAAAAAGTATATTTTTTAAAAAAAAAGAAGATAAAAAAAAAAGAATCTTGGGCTCAATTGTGGCCGTAATGCCTATATGAGGCAAAAATTTAGCAATGGTTTTAATAATGTTAAATATTGTTTAATTGTGTGCGTCATTTCAACGCAATGTGCATGATTGCCCATAATCCATTTTTAACACTTAATTGTCTCTTTTCTTGTCCAAGAAACATTTCCAAGATAACGCGGGATCGTTGCCACTTCCCAGCCTTCGCGATGGCCATGGCTGCAGCATGCTGACCCACAGCGGCGGAGTGGAAGCGGGCGCCAGGCTCCTTTCCCCAGCGGTTTGCAAGCGTCTCTCCATGGGGAGCGCACTGACTCTCTCTGTCTACTTGACCACCGCTGGCTGTCTTGGAAGCCCTCGATTGGCTGGCGAGCCTGAGGGGCAGCGGGGCCTGCCCTCCAATCAGAGACAAGGGTGGGATCCGGAATCTTGAAGCGCACGCTGGCCAGGGGCGATGCAGTCGGACGATCTCTTCGTTCGCAAGATGCGACGCCACTCGAACCGTCCACCGCTCACCTCCTTCTCGTTCGACAATTTCCGGACCCCCAAGCCCCAGGCGTGCGAGGGCCCGCTCGTGGGCCACTGTGGCCCGCCACTGAGGTCGCCACAGTGCAGCAGCCTCATGCATCGCAGCAACAGTGACGTGACCCTGAGCGAAGGGGAGCTGACAACCGCTGCAGGCACTCCCAGCTCCCCGTTACCGCTGGCTGCAGCATCTGGGACGGGATTCCAGCGAAATAGCAGCAGCCCCAGCATGCCCTCAAAGAGCATGGCGCCCCCTCGAGCCCGGGCACACAGCCACGAAGAGTCACGGGTGGGCAGTCCCACCGCGCGTCGTTTCCGTGATCCTCTGGTCCTGCTGGGACTGGCATCCTCGGATGTCTGGGAATCGGACGGGGGTGGCACCCCGTCAGCGGAGACCAGCGTATCGCTTCCCGCATCGGAGGTGGCCACGCCGGTGTGGGGCCGCCACTTGGCCCATTATGACGTTCAGAGTATCCTCTTTGAGCCAGGCGAGGGGGCCCGGGAAGCTGCGAGGCAGGGCAACGTCACCACGGGTGCCTCGGCGGCTTCACAGTGCCGTACGGCGGACGTGACCCCGATTCTGGAGGACGGGGCAGAAGAGGAGGAAGGAGGCACGCTGGTGCTCAGGTGTTCCGCCTTTCGGGTGGAAGCCGGAGGAGAGGTCGAACGGGGACTAGGCCAACACCGGGGGTTGCCGGCGGGCTTCCACTGCCCAAACATGGCCGTTTCGGTGCTGGAGGAACCCCGCGAAAGTTACGGACAGAGGAGTAGCCGAGTGATACACACCATCGAATATGCCGATCTCGGAGCCTGTTACTACCGGAAGCATTTTTACGGCAAAGGTGAACGCAGGGTAGCAGGGAGAATGTGGTGGGGAGGCGGGGGAGAGCAGAGGGGAAATGTTCAATGAGCTGCTATTTCTCCTAAAATTGAAACACGGATAGTCCTCAACTTCCCACCATTCCTTTAGCGACCGTTCTAAGTTACAACGGTACTTAAGGCCCGTCCAATTCCAGCCCAATTCACTTACCGCCCAATTCACTTACCGCCCAATTCACTTACCGCCCAATTCACTTACCG